GGGTTGCCTCCACAGGGGGAAGGTGATCCTAGATTTCGGTGTAGGTGGTAATACTTCGGTCGCCTTGGAAGCCAGAATATTACCACCATCACCGAGATCGGCATCCTCATCCCGCGGTGGAGGAACACCGCCGATATTGGTGTTGGTGTCAACCTCTAGGCCTGCGAGATTCATCAGTGCTTGCACTGAAGGGGTCCTAGCGGAAATTGAAAATTTGGCGAAAATGTCCCGCCGATGTTGGTGGCCGGCTAGGTTCCCGGGTTCCCGATTCCGGACCCAGCCAGGCACTGGTGAATGGTTCCAGGCCGATTTCGGTGGGTGCATATCCGCCTTGCTGGACAAGGCTTGGAAGGCGAGCGATTCTCATTGTGGGCGTCTTTTTGTTCGGCGTTTCGACATTGGGCGGAAAAGGGGGGGAGGGGGGTCTGGCTCCGGACCTCTGCTTAGCGCGGCTGTTTGCAGCAGTGCGTCCATTATGGGGGAGGGACCCCGCCCGCTCGAGACAGGCGCCAAAAACAGCCAAGATCCACTCCACGGGGGGGGAGGGGGGGTGCGAGGGCCCGCGCCGATCGGCAAAACAAGGAGTGACAAAAACGATCACAAGGAGAGCGATGTTCATCGTCTCCGCGTCACGGTCGCTTCCACTGCACGCAAGAATGGAATGGCGCTGGGCAAAGAGTGGCCTCTGGTGCGCGGGTTCTCGGGTTGAGCAGGGACCGACCGTCCTGGCATTCCTATAGTCCAACCACGAAATGTTCACAGAACCCAGAAATGTCCTAATAACAAAAACATGTTTATCATAACATAAACCCGATGTGCTAAAACAGACCCCGCCAGAGATGGTCTAAGAACACTTCGTGGAAACCACACAAGGTTCTTAGAACATTGTTTGGTATGGCTATAGTCGAGCCAGGACGCTTCGCCACTGCTTGAATGCCCGATTCGCTCATCAGACGCACCATTTTCAGCGCAGGCACTGTTGAGCCCGAGGCAGAAGAGGGCGACCCCGGCTGACGTGGGGCTCGGTGGTCAGAGCACACGCCCCTTCGGCGATCGGAGGCCTCCCCGCGCCTCGTCCTCGTCCTCCTCCTCTGAAGGGACCCTGGGACACACAAATAAATACACCCAAATCACAGGATCCCCCATATTTTCCAATACGCTCCGCCAGGAGCCAGGACGCTTCGCCACTGCTTGACATTGGAGGGGCGCCGCGCGAGGGCCAGGCACCCGCGCGCCAGACGCTGCTGCTGCGCCGCCCTCGGCGATCTCGGGGGGGGACCCCGGCGGGCCCGCACCAGAGGCAGTCGCTCTGGCGGGGGGGGGTCACTCTCGGGGCGCCTGCGAGCACCGGCAGGCCTCCCCGCCAGAACGCATCATCGCTGCCCTGGGGGAGGGAGCTGACGGGGCCCTGGGACACACAAATACATAGACACACACACACACATCCTGATGCCCCATATGTTCCCATAGTTTCTGGGTTCTTTTCTTCCCCCCCCCCTCTCCCTACTTCCCATATGCTCCCATGTTTTCTGGCGAATCGGCGACTAATTGTGTCTGTGTGTTTTTGTTTCCTCCTGCCCCCCTACAGGGGGATTTTCGAGGAAAAATGGAGAAATGACAAAAAATACTCACTGATGGCAAACATAGATTCAAAACATCTTACCCAGACTATCTGTTCATCATTTCGGAATATTCCCCCTGGAGATGGACAGGCCCGACTTAACCCTGGGGGCGGAAGTTTGGTCCAGGTAACGACCGTTACGCTCCAGGGGATACACAGGGGCCCGAGAGGGGAAATACGAGCTGACAGCCTGCGCCCTTCCCCCCGCGAGGGGTCCAAGAGCCCCCCGGAGGCCCCCGAGGCGCCTCGTCCGTGCGCTCCTGACATCTTCCGGGGGTCGGCGGAACGACGTCAGCCTCTCGAATCCGCCCGCCCAGTGGGCTGAGGGGCGTGTGAGATGCAACTGCGAGAACTCCTGACGAAGCTTCAATCCCCCTTTTGACCCCCACCAGAGGACTCCGCCATTCCGCCGCCCAGCTGCGCCATCGACCCCTGGCGAGCCTCAAAACAGCTTCAGGACGACTTCCACAACCAGCTCGATTTTCAGATCCTTCTGGCGACGCTCTCGGGGCGCATTTCGGCTCCATTTCGGCTCCGTCGGGGCCCCTTCTTGTCTCACATCCAGGTCCTGGGGCCTTCCAGAGGACTTCCGGGGCCCAACTGCGCGTACATACTGGGAACTCCGAACATATAGTAAACCAGATCGGGTTTTAATCGACAATCTGTTGATGTAGAAATAGTAAACAAATAAACCTGACTATCATCGCCTGAAAGCCTCTTGTAGCCGACAATCGGGCTCGTCTGGGCCACTGTCAAACATGTTAAATTTCGTGGCCGATGTTGGGAGCTGCAAAACGGAGCCAAAGCTGTCCAAATTGTCGATGGCATTCGGGCAGGGTTACCATGGCCCAACACGGACGTGCTGTCATTCGGGCCGTCCAAAGGCCACCTGGGCCGCTTCGGGCCCTTCTTGGCTCCTTCTTGGGCTTGTCTCGGGGTCCTCTTCTGCCTTTGTGAGCGCCTTACAGGTTTCGGGCCGTGTTTGGCTGGTTTCGGGCAGCGTTTTGGCTATCTCTGGCCTCCTGCTCTGGATAAGGAGCATCGATTCAGAGAGCCACCGGGCTGAAGAACGTGTGAGACTACATTCTAAAACCTCCCTACAAGATAGATTTCCCCCCCTCCCTCCTCCCCCCCGTGAGGCCTCCACCATTCCGCTGCCCGGATGCGTTACATCCCCGTTTAGGTCCCCAAGACGGCTCCCAGACGGCCCAACGCGGAGACGGCAAATTTACCATTGATCAGGCATGCGGCATACCTGGGTCACGGAGCGAATGAATGGAGGAAAAATGGAGCGCAGGAAAAACAAAAAGCAACTGCGGGAAATCTGTCATGATTTTCCGAATGTAGTTAGCCCGTCTTGGAGCCGAGACGGTCCAAGAGGGCTCCGAGTCGCCGACCGATCCGCCCAGGACGCCCAAGATAGCCTCCAGACGGCCGAAGACGCCTCAAAGACGCCCCACGAGGTCTCCAAGAGACGTTCCAAGAGGACCCCTAGACTAGAGGCTAGAGTCCTCGATGTTTTGGGCCCCTTCGAGTGTTGAAGGAGTTGGGCGCTCTCGCAGTTTCGGCTTCCCGGCGCTCCAGGACGATCCAAGGTCGCCCAAAAACGGCCCAGGAGGCCGTCTAAAGGGCCCCAAAACGGCCACACACAGAGGGCACCGTGACGGCCCAAGGCCTCCAGCTCCAAGACGGCCGAAACAGCCCCCGAGACGGTCTTAACAGGTGGCCCCGACGGGGACTCCGAGCGGAGATCTCGAGCCATCGCCCTCCCCCCGAGGCCCAAAAAGGCCCCCACGTGGCCCCCAAGAGGTTCCCAACGGCCCCCGTGAGGCCCACGGAGGTACCAAAAATATGGCCAAGAGGCCACCGAGAGGCCTCCCAAGGACCACAAGAAGCTTCCCAAAGAAGCGTCGTGTCCACGGCCCCCAAGAGGCCCCCAAGAGGTTCCCAGAGGCCCCCGTGAAGCCCCAGGAGGTCCCAAAAATACGGCCAAGAGGCCACCGACAGGCCTCCCAAAGAGGCGTCTTGTCAACAACCAAGGTTGGCCCCAAAATGCCCCCAAGAAGCCTTCAGAGGCCCTTCTCCTTGCCCTCATTCTGCCCACTTCCTCCTCCTCCTCCTCCTGCTCCTCCTCCTCCTCCCTCCTCCTCCTCCTCCTCTTCCTCCTCCTCCTCCCCCTCCTCCTCCTCCTCCTCCTCCTCCTGCTCCTCCTCCTCCTGCTCCTCCTCCTTCTCGCCACGAACACACCAACATACAACACGGCAGCCCATGACGGCCCCCGAACAAGCCCTCAAAAAAAACAACTACGCAGGAACGACCACCGCCAAGTGGCGCAACAGGGGCAACGAACGCGCGGGCAAAAGCCAACGATGCCACCTTGTGGCCCGGCGGAGTGAACGAAACGATTCAATCAAAAAACAAAAAACGCCTCAGAGCCCATGCGCCATCCTGTGCCCAGAATGGCCCTGGCCAGTCACGGCACAGCGGCTGTCGGCGCGCGCACGTGGCGCGAAAAAGCCGTGCCGATCTTGGTCACCGCCGTCTATCTAGATCAGCGCCAAGTTGTGGATCATCCTCGCGAATCGGCAACGAAAGACATGGACCATGACCAAGATCGGCATCGACAAGGTCCCACGTCATCTTGGTAATGGTTAATGGTGTCCGTGCTTCGACCCTCGCCAGAAAGACGACGCCCGCCAACGAGCTTGCCGCACAATTGGCGGCGAGCGCGCGCAAGGGAACGACGCGAGGACAACCACATAGAGGGCACACCCTGGGCATGTTGTGCTCATGCCAACAACCGTCGCAACTCGGCGGTGGACAAGCCTCCCTTTGGTAAACCACCCTTTAGTGAAAACAGCCCAAGACCGAAACCCACGGACCTGGACCCGCAAACATGACGGCCGCGACGCCCCCTCGCAAATCGAAAACGGCCAATTCGCGAATCGACGTGTCAGGGTAGGAGGTCTATCAACCTCTGAGCAACACCGAGGCCAGCCGAGTGCTGGCTGTGGTCGAAGTGGCGCCCCAGGACGGCCAGGTCGACCACGCCCACGACCGAGATGCTCGTGCCGAGGTCGGCGGGTTCTTCCCCGAGGGCAACACCCTTGGAAGAATCCACTGGGCCGTGGCTGTGGTCGGGGATCTTCTGACCCGGGTCAATCCAGACCAGGGCCAGCCAGGCCACGCCGAATCCTGCACGATCCTGCACGCAAACCCGGGTCAATGCGAAGGCTCCTGCCGGATCCTGTAGGATCCTGCACCCAAGCCCGGGTCACTGCGCCCCTGGCCCTGCAAGACCCTGCAAGACCCGGCGCTCCGACTGACCCCCCTTTGCACGGACCCCCGTCTTCGTCTGAGCTCGGGTCGGCCCCTGCTCCTCGCCGTGCGACCTCCTCAGCTCCGTGAAGTTGTACAGGCGCTGCGCGATGCGCTCCAGGGGCTCGCTGGTGTCCTGGTAGGCCGCGTCGCTCGAGCCCAGGCCCGCCTTGGCTGCGGCCAGGATGGAGGAGGAGGAGGAGGAGGAGAAGGAGGAGGAGGAGGAGGAGGAGGGGAGGCGGAGGAGGAGCAGAGGAGGAGGAGGAGGAGGAGGAGGAGGATGAGGATGAGGATGAGGAGGAGGAGGATGAGCAGAGGAGGAGGAAGAGGAGGAAGAGGAGGAGGAGGAGGAGGAGGAGGAGGAGGAGGAGGGAGGAGGAGAAAGAGGAGGAGCAGATGGAGGAAAGAAAGAAAGAACAGCCAAAAGGTCAAGTCACATGACTACACAATAGGAAAAAGACAAACGGGTTAGGGCAAGGCAGGAGGCGTGGGCGTTCCTCGCCTGGCCTCCTCCTTAGCCCTGATCCTGTCGATGAGCGCCGACAGGCGGCGCTCGTAGGACGGCGGCTCCTGGGCGGGGCGCTCCTGCGGCGCCGAGGGAACTTCCTGCGGCGCCGTCATGGTCGTCGCCGCCGCCGCCGCCGTCGTCCGCACTCTAGTGACCACCCGAGCCTCTGCCCGAGTGGTAGCCTGGATCTCCACCTGGCTGAAAGGAACCACTCGATCGATTGCTGATCGGAGCCGTGGATTGGGACCGAGCCCTTTCCTGAAAGCCTGGAGAATTTCAATCCCCTTCTTGGTGGGGGGGAGGCACACTCTGCCCAACTTGGCCCCGCGGCCCTGAGACCACCCCCCACATTGAACACAGAGGAACTGCTGGACCGCTCGCCTCGTGGGGATCCCAGGGATCTGAGAGCCGCCTCCAACAACAGAACCCTGGACCGCAACAACCTGGTGACCCTTGGCATCCCCGAGGAGCTTGCGCAAGAATGCAGGGGTGCCCTTGCAGCCGTCCATCGGCGGCGAGTCCCCAGGGGGCGCAGCAATCAAACACTGCTTGCACTGGAGGCCCACCAGCGTGGAGGCCCATTCATGAAAACTACTGCACCGCTTATCCTGGGGCCGCCTGCTGCGGGGAGGCCTGGACCACCTCTTGTCATTCTGAAAACACGGAAGCACTGCTGCAGCCAGTTTTATAAACCTGGTAGCCTTGACCTCTGCCTCTTCGACCTTCTCTAAAAAACTGGGGTCAGGGCGAGCACGCATAGTCAAGGCGATTTTAGCATGAGCATCTGCGGCTTTATTCGCCTGAGCATACCTCAACTCGTCACCCTGCAACACAGAGATGGCCTCATCCGACCTGTGAGCTTTCACATGCCTCGCGAGGCTTATATTCGACGTGCCTGGGAGAGACTGAGCAAACAGGCGAACAGCAGCATACTTATTTGAGGACCGTGTCTGTGCCTCGAGCGTCTTCTGAGCCGTGGTTACAACAGCGAGGCAATCTAAACCAACATGGGTCTCGCGATCTGAAGCTTGCCCAGCTAGTGCATAGGCTAGGTGCTCCGCAAACGCAGGGGTCTGGGGGAGGGAGCCAGCCACGGGGCCTCGAAGAACAGCCAGGACATCTTCGCTCTCAGGCCGCAACAGGGCGATGGCCCAAGCCGCCCTCCGAAGACATCTCAACGCTTGCTTCGTGCATGACCCATCTGCGGCTAACTCCATCAAATGATGCTCCCCCAGAAGCTGTCCCACCTGCTCGGGAGTCTGAGGGATCTCTTCGCAACCACCCCCCACAACACAACAATCGCTCGACGCACACGGGGGGGGGAACCTCACTGGGATCGAAGACGAAGAGCCCTCTGGTATAAATCGGATCAGTGCTCTCGCATCCTGCCGAAATGAACGACTCTGGAATCTCAGCTGCTTCTCTGGCCTCTCTGACCTCTGGCAGATCACAAGTGTATAACCTATGGTGCAGCGTGTCTACTCTACCGCACCTGCATTTGCCCGAGGTAGTGTACCCCGAGAGTCGAGCTCGCTCTTCAGTCCAGAGAGCATCGCAGGCACAGCACCGAACCAGAATCTGTTGGTATCGTGTAAACTTTTTGCTGCTCGAGGCACAAATCTGCTTGCGCACAAGATCAAACGTCGCACAGTGCGCCTGCTCAAAGCCCAGCTTGCGCGCCAAGGCATGTTCGTGCTGGCGCTGTAGCCCGGCCTCGAGCAACTCTAAAAGCAACCCTGGAGTCAACTGACCGATGTTGACTTGTAGACCGTTGTGGTCTGTCCAGAGGAGCGGATCAGGTGCATCCCATCCTGCACGACAAGCTGCGAGCCTCGCTCTCGAGAGGGGCCCTTTGCTCGCATGCCAGGATCGGGGACTGCTAGCTTTGGCTTCTCGCCACATTCTACACAAATCATGCGTGGAGACAAGTGCTCGGTCGGCGTTAGACTGAGCCAGCCACAACATACGACACCACTGCAACGCAGGAGCTAACGCCGACCTCGCACTCTCATCTCCAAAAAGAACCGTTTTTGCACTTAAACTTGTTCCTCCATGCTGGGGGGAATGCACTCGGCTTTGGAGCCGTCGAAAGTTAAACCATTCCAGATTGTTTAGGCCCAGGACCTCGGTGCCGAAGGCAGCACCCGTGGAAACACCAGTCTTCAAAACTCGCTGAAAGGACTTCCTAGTGCAACCTGCTACTGTACGCGCAAGTCGCTTGTGCTTCCTGAGCCTGAAACGCATCTTGGAAAAACGTGTTCGCTGCTTATCTCTGGCATGCGGCCTAGAACGTTGAGAGGCTCCAGACTGATCTACCCCGAGATACGCAACACTCGTTAGAGCAGCCTCTCGAGGGAAACGTAACTCTTTACAAACCTCTCTGGCTAGGCCGTCTGTACTGGAAATTACTGCTATCTTATCATTCAGCTTGGCCTGAAGCTCTTGCACACAGAGCTTGAAATCTCTACCTGCTGAGACGGCCATAGACTTGGCTATCTGTCTGTCACTGCTAGCTATTCCTATTGCACTGTCATCTATGTAGCTGAGAAAATCGATAAAAGGCTGCCTGACTAGGTAAGAATCGAATTCCTGGACCGCGTGTATCTTGATCGAGATATCGTTAAAGACATCTCCTGCGGGCAGCCCTCCTTCTGCGAAGAGCACACTCTGGGCATGGTGCTGACCTAGCCGCAAGAGTCGTGGGCCCTTCCAAACATTATAAACCAGTTTCAGGAAACTAAGCGGCACGTTGAACCTCAAAAACTTGTCCCTGAGAGCTTCTAGGGGAATCGTTTCGTAATACTTCGAAAAATCGGCCACTATTAAAACACTGTGCTTATTCTGCTCGGCATCGCTCTCACTGCGCGCTGCCTGGAGCCAGGCACAATCCACTGCTGAACGACCTTTCGACGCCCCCCAGCAACGACGATCGACCAGACGATTCACTTCCGTCAGCAGTGGGCGCCGCAGTCTTTGCCAAACACGGTACATGCCAGCGTAAAGCACTATGAGACGGTTTCCCCCTTTGGGTTTTGGGAGCATGGGTTGGACCACCCACAAAAGTTGCCGAGGGAGCAAACCGATGGCCTCGCAGGCCTGCCAAAGAGAACTTAGAACCTCAAGTCCTGAATCGTCCAGGGCCAACACAAAACGCGGGTGAAAATGATCGAGACTGCTGGAGGTACTGCGCGAAAAAGTGCGTCCTACCTCTCGTATCGCTGCAACAGAAGCTCGTTCACAAGACGACCGATCAGGGATCCACGCCCGAGGAGGCTCCGACGTCGCACCCCAGAGTTTCTTATACAGCGATACCTCGTTCTGCACAATACTGATGGTGTCCGCAGTGGGTCCATTCGGGCCTTGCACGATCGTAGCAGCTCGGACCTGGCGAACAGCAGTGATCTTGTGAAAGCCTCGCGACCCTGCTGCTCGAGCGGCCACACACCAGTCGTGCCACGAGTCTCTCTGTTCCTTACTTTCTCCTTTAGCTGCAAACTCGACATCTGCGTCTATATCGTCTAAAAAACTTTGCAGCGCCTCGGAGTCTATTTCCTCAGTGCTGACTAAACCTCTCGCCACTTGAACGGACCGCTCAAGGCGAGCACTCAACCCCAGGCCTGGGAATTCATCAACTAAAAAACTTGAGACCTCTTGTGCAAGCATCATCTGATTTTGAGCCGTGTCGGCCACGCGGGAGAAGACCAGGACCTGACCAACAGCATTTTGGAGCCACTTCCAGCCGTCGGCGATCGCTTGCACATCACTGGAGGTCTTAGTCGTACAACAGACTTCGACCCACCGCGCTTTTAAACATCGCCCGAAAGCCCCTGGGTTCTTCAAAGGCTGCCCTGCCCTCTCACCTAGGTACCTGGCCGCTGTCGTGGCGAAACGACCCCAGGCATTCGAAAGCATGGCCCAGGCCACGCTCGGAGCAACTGAAGAATCCGAAGCAGCCTCGCAGGCATCCTGGGCTAGACGCTGCTCGATGGACCAGGTCGGTGGTTGAGGAGCAGGGCCTATCGGGAACTCTTTGGGCAGCGCAGGGGTAACTGAGTAGACTAGATGTTTGAGTTTAAACCCGTTGTCTGAGATAGCTAGACGGATAGGCCGATGAGGCTTAACCGTCCAGCGCATATCGACCGTTAGCTTCTTAAAACCTCGCATTAAAGTATCATTCAAACAGTAAAAATCAATGATGCTGGAACCTGTCCCCCCTCGACACGTTGGCACCGCAGGCGCCAGCACACACAAATCCGCCAGGACAGGAAACTCCGACGCCTCCAAAGCTTCTGGGGTCAGGTTCCAATCTCCTGCACAAAAAGCAGGTCCTGATACCGTTTGCATCATTCTGCCTAGCTCAGCGAGGATGGGGGCGTTAGGCCCGCTAGGGCCTACCTGCGGGTGGAGGTAGAGGTTGAACGCCGTGATGGCGGGCCAGCCTGGTAGGTCGACCTCGACTCGTTGTAGTCGGGCTGGAAAGAGACACTCAGCTCCAACTGCAGGTGGTCGAAGTCCGACTCCAGTCCGAACAAACACAGCGACGCCAGCTCCAGTGTTGTGACCTGCCGTTGCTTTCGACGAAAGAGCTCGCATTGACCAACCTCGCGCAGCGCACCAGGAGTCAAGAGCTTCAAGATCCGCTTCGAGATGTCCGATCTCTTGCATCAAAATCACTTTCGCCGAACTCTTCTCGAGCCTCTTCTTCACTGTGCGTTTCCCACCGTTAGCGTTGAACGATTCGAACTCATGGAACGTATCATCGTGTTCGGAGTCTGCTGCAGGAACTGTTCCATGATGAGATAACTTGAAACCACTCACTCGGGGAAAATCGAACTTGGGATCGCGCACTGTCGGATCCTCAGAACTGACGACGCCGCACTCAGATGCCAGCGTACACGAAGAAGTTGATACCGTAGAACTTGTTGCCCTCGTAGCAGTAGACGAACAGGTGGGCCTTCCCTCCAGCGATTCCCTAGGCTGGGATCCCTCTCCTCGCCCACTGCAAGCCTGAACCTGCAGCTGCGTTGGGGGTGTCGTCCAGCCAAGGGTCTCAGCCTTCTCAGGGTCAGGCCGCAACGTGGACGACGGGGATGCCGTAGCACTGCAGGACGCCGTAGACGAACTCCTGCCAGACAGCCCCCACAGCCATCGCCGCAAACAGAAAGCGTTAGGAACTGGAACTGACTTTTGCACGCTTGACGGAGAACTCGGCAAGCTTTTGTCGAAACTGCTCTTTATCTCCTGCCAGGGAGAACAAAATCTCATGTTCTGGCTCGGTGAGGTCCTCATACATACGCTTCTCCCCTGCAGCTTGTCCATCATCGCCAGGCTCGGCTGCAGAGGCATTGTCAGTAGGCTTGCCATCACCATCACCGTCAACATCCATCTTAGTGGGCAACTTAGAAGCCCTCTGCGTGAGTAAAGACTGGAGCATCTTCCACTCAGGACTCTCGAGGAAAGGGATGAGCTCTTTGGGAACCTCATCTGGCTCGGACCCAAAATCAAAAAGCTGCGAGAGGTCGGGCGCCTGCTTCGCATCCTCGGTCGAGGTCGTGACATGCTTAGCCGTTTCAGCAAATTCGACCTCCAGCGCCTCCACTTCCCTTTGCTTTGCCACAATCTCATCCTGTCTTTTCGCGATCGACTCACGAAGTCCTTCAATCTGCTTCTGCTTTTCTCTAAGCTCATCTTGCATCTTCTGTAACGATGTACGTGCCCGACTGAGGTCCTGCGCTGCCCGTCTGTGTGCAGTCGTAGGGGATCGCAGCTGCTTGTGCTGATTGCGAAGATCTTTGAGACGCTCTTCGATCGGGGTCTTGATGCATTCATTACCGTTGTTGCAGCGGAGTCGCTTAAGCACGTCTTCCAACTCATAGATCTCTTGCATGATGGCATCTCGCTTGGCACCGTTGTCGACCTTCTCCTCGGCCTGTGCGTCTGTGCCTCCAGCTGTGGGCGGCTCAGAAATATGCCATGGTGGCTTGCCCCCCGTGCCAGAAGACTTGGCTGCTGCACCAGGTGCCGCTGGCGTGGTGCCTGACTGCACGGCCTTAAGCACCTGTGCCAGCTGGTTCTCGAGCCGCTGGAGCTTTCCGTTGTCAACGCCGCCGTCGCTCCCCTTGCCCTTCGATCCATTACTACCTTTACCTTTTGACTTTGCATGCGAGGGTCCGTTCTGCGCCCAAGCTGCTGCATTCTCTTTTGCTCGTTGTGCAATCCTGGACGGGGCTGGATTGCCGCACTGACACACCACTCGACTCGCCCAATTCTGGGCCGCTCCGCAGCGGCCGCACCCCCAGACAGGGTACCTCGGTCCCAGGAGGACCGCTTCCTGCCTGGCAGGTGGTACCATGGGCCGGCCGTAATGGTGAGCGAGTGGGGCTGGGCCGTGCGGGGCGGACCGCACGGCGCTCTGCCTGGGGCGAACCAGGCGAAAGACGAAAGCTGGCCGCGGACTAGCGGTATCCACTTTGTTCCCAGGGGAAACCAAAACCTTGAGCCAAAATGGCTACGGAGGAGCAGATGGAGGAGGAGGAAGAGGAGCAGGAGGAGGAGGAGGACGTCGAACGGGGCAGGGCTGCCGAAAAGACCCCCAGGGCTCACAGTTCCGTAATTGCCAGTCGTCGGCGTCTGGGTGCTTTTCCTCCCCTGAACATGTGGAGGCCTCCTAGATGGGGTCGGAGTAGATGGGGTCGGAGGACCGCGCCGCATGGCCGATACATCGGCGATACATCGGCGATGCATCAGCGATGCATCGGCGATGCATCAGCGATGCATCGGCGATGCACCGGAGATGAGGCGTCGACGTCGGCGATGTGTCGGCGACGTCGGCGTGGAGAAAACCGGGCTCCGCATCAGCCGCATCGCCGATGCATCGGCGATGCGGCGCGATCCTGCGACCCCATCTCCTCCGACCCCATCCAGGAGGCCTAGAACATGGGAGTCGAATCGGATCGGGGCGCACTGAGAATCGTTTATCCGACCCCCATCCCCAGCGGCGTGGCCTGGGCCCCACTGGCAGATTTACCCCCCTAGATGGGGATACAGGCCGTTCCTTCCCTTCGGGTTTCGAGGGGTGCATCCCAACTGGGGTGGTAATTTGGTGGGGGTCTTGAAGGGGATGGGCCTGGGGATGGGGATTGGGATGGGGATCCGATAAACGATAACGACAATTGTCGGCGTCTGGGTGTTTTTCCTGCCTTGCACATGGGAGTCAAATCGGATCGGGGCTCCTGGAATTCGGCGGTGGACAAACATCCCTTTAGCAAACATCCCCTTGGTGAAAACGGCCCACGACCGAACCCGACGGACCTGGACCCGGCAAAAAGGACGGCCGCGACGCCCCCTCTCGCGAACCGAGACCGGCCGATTCGCTAATCGACGCGTCAGGGTAGGAGGCCGATCAACCTCCGATAATTGCCACTTGTCGGCAACTGGGTGTTTTTCCCTCCCTTGAACATGGGTCGGGCGTTGGCAGAACTGGGTTTAGTGGGATCTGGTTTAGTGATGTGTACTGGAGGACGCCCCCCCCGCCTCGTTACACTAACCGGAACTGCCGTCCCCCGAAAAACACGAACTACGGCAGACCTGGTTTAGTGATTCTGTCCAATTCAATACCACTAACCGGGTCCCGTTACCTGGGGTCCTGGCTATACCCGAACATGGGAGTCGAACCGGATCGGGGCGCATGGAATCGACGCCGACTCGGACCGACGGGGCTGGGAAGGACACTGCACTGAGGGCGCACCGCACCGGTGTATCCCCAAGTGGGTGCATCCCCAACTATGCGTATCCCCAACTGGGGTGGTAGTCCCACCAGCCCTCTGGGCGTCGGTGGTTTAGGGAGCTTCCTCTTCCGCCCTTCCTTCTTCCCCTTCGGGGAGGGGTTTATCACTGTTCCCTATTAATAAACACCCCCCAAATTCGGAACATGCGCAGCCAACCCGATGCGGCCCCCCCCCATCCCTGTCACACTTGGCGGCGGCGGCGGCCGCTGCGGCGGCTGCGGCGGCTGCGGCGGCTGCGTCGGCGGCGGCGGCGGCGGCGGGGGCGGGGGCGGCAGGGGCGGGGGGGGCGGCGGGGCGGCGGCGGCGGCGGTGGCGGCAGCGGCTGCGGCTGCGGCGGCGGTTGCGCAGCGGGGGGGCGGCGGCGGTTGCGCAGCGGGGCGGCGGCGGCGGCGGCGGCGGCGGCGGCGGCGGCGGCGCGGCGGCGGCGGCGGCGGCGGGCGGGGGGCGGCGGCGGCGGCGAGCGGCGGCGGCGGCGGCGGCGGCGGCGGCGAAGGCGGCGGCGGCGGCGGCGGATTGGCCCCCAGTAGCTGCCCATCCAAAGACGACTGCTGAATATGCTGAGGCTCGGGCCAGACTCGGGTTCTACGTATGTGTTGGGAGGGCGGGTGAGAGTGAGCGAGACGGCTTGCGGGCGGGGAGGGGGTAACTTGACCCCTCCCCCTACCCCCTCCCCTGGACCTGGACATGGGGGGGGGGGCGAGTCGTCAGGGCGTCCGAAACGGCCCTCTGGGCAATTCCTCTGGGCATCGTTTCTGGATAAACTGGTGAGGATCCGCGAAGCGTCAACAATTTGGTGGGGGTCTCGAAGGGGATGGGGATGGGGAGGGATGGGGATCTGGTAAACTCGGGTGCGACCAAGAGGAGGGCGTCCAAGAGTGGGGGGCGCAAATCATGGCCGGCGGCATGTGCGTGGCCCTTGGGGGGGGGGCGAGGGGACGCAATAAGATGAGAAGAGGCGCCATGACATCTGAGGAAATATCATGGCCGACGCCATGATATCCACTCCCCCTAGTCATCACCCCCCTCTTTGCCGCGCCTGGAATCGTCGTCGACTCGGATCGACGGAGTCGGAACGGACCCTGCACCCGAGAGCGCACCGCGCGCGCCCCCGCCTTGGCTGGCCACAGGTCCACGGACCGGCACGTCGACACCATCGAGCAGAAGACGGCCTCGCGCGCGCGCGCGGACACGAGCGACGCCTTCCGGGCTGGCGCCTTTTTGGCAGTCCTCCTCCTCCTCCTCCTCGTCCTCCTCTTCCTCCTGCTCCTCCTCCTCCTGATCCTCGTCCTCCTCCTCGTCCACGTCCTCCTCCTCCTCCTCCTCGTCCTCGTCCTCCTCCACGTCCTCGTCCACGTCCTCCGCATCCTCCTCCTCCTCCTCATCCTCCTCGTCCTTGTTCTCGTCCGCATCCTCCTCTCCTCATCCTCCTCCTCCTCCTCCTCCTCCTCCTCCTCCTCCTCCTCCTTACTGCCCGTCTCCTCATCCGCCCACCGTCCCTCCCTCTATCCCCGGCTCTTCCCCTTTATCGCGCCCCTCCTCCCCTCTCCTTCTCTTCTCCTCCTGCAGCCTCCTCCTCCTTCTCCTCCTCCTCCTTCTCCTCCTCCTCGTCCTTCTCCTCCTCCTCCTTCCTGATGCAGCCTCCTCCTCCTTCTCCTCCTCCTCCTGGCAGGCGGAGGCATGGAGGGAGGAGAGCGGAAGCAGACAAGATTTGCGCACTCGCGCTAATTGACAGCCTACGCCTCCCGCCCATCCCTTCCCATCGCCCTGAACTCTGTGGCGTCCGCTGGATGGGGAGTCTTAGATTACCTCGATCCCCCAAATGGCCGCTTCTTGTGAAGCGCCAAAAGCGGTAGTTTTATAGAGTTGGCAAAGGAGAGGTGGCGGATGAGCAGGAGAAGAGCACGACGACGAAGCAGGAGGGGGCAGCAGCAAAAAAACACAACAAGAATGACGAACCAACAACACACACCCATACCCAATCCGCACCCATACCCATAGCCAGTCCTCCTCCCAACGACCCCCCTATGGGTATGGGTGTGTGTTGCTCGTTCGTCAAAGAAGGAGGAGCGGGAGAACCAGGGGAAGGCAGGGGATAGAGAAAAAGCGGGGAAAGCAACGCTGGGCGTACGGAGGCGGAGGAGAAACAGAATCCAGATACCAAGGAGAGGCGGAGGTCAGTATCGGATCCGGAAGTGTCGCACACGCTGGGGTTGGGAAGTGAGCGCAAACCTGAGCTGAGCGCACATCTGAGCTAAGCACAAATCGGAGTGCGGCCAACGCCGCAGCGAGAACTCGACAGGACCGAACACAGTCCGACTGAAGAAAAACACATGTCATAACAAAACAACTGCGAAATGCTGCGAGTGGAAAATGCATGCGGCAAGAGGGGAGCTTCCGCACAAGACTGTTATTGGACCATGTCTAAGATCTGTGCTTTCAACCGGCTTGAAAGACAGCGAACAAACACAGATTCACGGGCGCTGCAAGAACCATACCGAAATCCACTGACCCCCCGCCTGCCAAGGGTGTGAGACATGTGCCCCCCCCCCTTCCCTTGGGGTCCAAACTCACGCTAGAGGAGGGGTGCACGAGCTGCCTGGCGCACCTTTCTCGCCCTCGGAGCCTCCAAACCCACGCACCGCGGCCCCGAAGCTGCCGCGGAGGCCCTGTACGATGGCCAAGGCAAGGCTCCAGCGAGCCAGAGAGGTGTCCAGAGCATCCAAGATGGCATCGAGACGGCACCAGCATGGCCCAAGAGGCCTGGAAGACGCCAAACAGGGGCCCAAAGAGGACCCCCTGGATGGCCTCAACATGATGAGAATGGATTTCCTTTTGGATTCAAACTGACATGCGCATTCTCCACATTTCAAAGGTTTCTAAAACCCCGAGACTGCACGAGTAGCCGCGCCCCCCCCCCCTTTGCAAGGGCCCAAGACAGCCGAAGAGGCCCTCAAAAGGACCCGCAGATGGCCCAAGAGGGCATCAAGACCGACCAAGAGGCCGTCATGGCAGCCCAAAAAGGCCGACAAGAGGGCCCCAAGAAGGGCTGAGGAAGCCCGAACAGAGTAAACTCGTAAGGGCCCCGGGACCTAGCCCCTACATACAATAAGTGCGCGCCCCAAGACATCCAACATGCCTCCAGGATACCCAAAAAAGACCATCAAGTAACCTTCAGAGGACCCCAGAAAACACCGAGGAGCCCTCAAAGACTCCAGGAGGCCCCTCTTATGCTTCCAAGAGGACCCCAAGCACCCCCGCAAAATATAAGGGGGAGGAGGAGTTGGAGGAGGAGGAGGACCACGAGTCAGCAACAACTGCGCACAGGCTGCGAAAGCAGCAAAGCTTCCCCGCCTCCGCAACAATTAGCCTTCGAGGCGCCACAGAGTGCTGCGCTAGCAATACACTGCGAACTCCACACCAGCGTTGGGTCTGGGACAAAAGCCGTCGTGGGGTCAGGGGATCGCGCCGCATCGCCGATGCATCGGCGATGTCGGCTCGGAGAAGATCGAGCTCCACATGGAGCGGCATCGCCAATGCATCGGCGATGCGGCGCGACCCTCCGACCCCTCTACTCGGGCATACCACGTCCTGATTTGGTCAATGCGCGGTACCTGAAGTCCAGACTTTTTCCCCAGGACCAGCGCTTTATTCCAAATTGTTGTTTGATGACCCTGGGGCCTGGATGGGGCCCCCAGGGGAGGTGCCAAAAGCCAAACGTGTCCGTGTTTTTCCAGGGGGCGCGGAAAGGAGTGCGGAATGCATCGGACCGCGGGGGCGACGCCCCCCGCGACTGCCCCAACGCTTCAGACAAACCGTTCCATGCCCCCGGATGGCCAAGTGAAAACTGGGGGAAACCAAAGCACAAGAGCCAACCCACATAGCAAGGATGCGCGATGAGGATGCAATGGCCTTGGAAACCCATGCCGAAGCTTTGCGAGCGGGGCGCGGCCAACGAGAATGGCCAGGGAGTGACGAGGAGGCACGGAGGCCAGGGAAACCTTGGGAAGGTTGCCCATCCTTGCTGTGCGGGTTGACTGTAATACATCAACCAGATTGCGCAAACAGTGCTTGCACTCAAGAGGTTCTGACTGGTGGTCTGAGGACTTGGGCCTGGATGTCGGTGTGGCGGCTATTTTGTCGCCGTCGCCACCCCGTCGCCGCATCGTCGCCGCCCGTGTTTTGGGCCTGACTGTCGGTCTGGCGGCTCCGTTGTCGCCGCCGACGCCCAGTCGCCACACGTCGTCTGACCATGAGTGTCGGTCTGGCGGTTATGTTATCGCCGTCGACGCCCCGTCGCCGTCTCGCCGCAGCTTCGCATTACGTCGCATTACTGTACATTGTGTTGTTGGTTGCTTTGCATTGCTTTGGATTGCGTTGCGGTGCGTTGCATCGCTTCGCATTGGGTTACATTGCTTCGCATTGTTTTGCATTCGTACGCAGTGCTCTGCAATGTTTTGCATTGCAGAACTTTGCTTGTTTTCCATGGCGTTGCACTCACTGTTTTTCGTTACCTAGCGCTGCGTTTCATTGATATGTATTGAGTTGCGCCGTTATGCATTACTTCGCACTGCTGTTGACTTGCATCACATCGGTTGCACCACATGGACTGCGTCCTTTGGTTGCACCACCCAATTGGCACAGCATCCATTGCAAGAACAGATCAGCCATATATTGCACGGCGTATGTTGCATAAAGTTTACTGCGCATCATTGATTGCATCACGTAGGTCGGTCGGTCCCCCTTCTAACAGAAGATGTACTAAGAGTTACCCCCAACCCCCTCCCCCCAGATTCAACGCATCACCTTTTATATGTCGCAACGCAAATTACCAACATATGACTCCAGACCATGCCAGGTCAACCCGTCTACGTCCCTCTCATCTTCTGCAACAGAAGCCATGCCAGCGTACACTCGCTCATAAAAAGACAAACAATTTTCAACAATCGGCTGCAGAATCTGGGGGCGAAGTGTACGCATGCGCGTCGTCGCGAACGCATGCCGACTTGTCTCGAAAACTACAGCTGGCGAAGGTTCAAAACAGATGGCCCCGAAAACGTGCGATGAACAAACACGTGCGGCTTCGACACCAGAGTTTTCAAAAGGAAAACATGATTTGCGCACGCGCTCTCGCTCCTGCTAACTCTGATGAACACCATGGGTTACTCAAGATTGCCATAATATGCAAACAAACACGCTTCTCGTGCGAGCTTGTCAAATTCGTTCGGACGCCCATGCGCGCGTGTTGTTACAACACTCCCTTGGAAAGAAAAACGGGACGAAACGCACGCGCGCGCGTCGTCGGGCGCGCATGCCGGAATCCTTCAAACGCCCGGGTCCGTGGATATGTCGGCATTGTCTCCCGAAAACATATAAACATGCAGTTTCTTAACGAACGTTTTCAAAAAGCCTGCGTTCGCGCATTTCCGTGAACATGGAATAACCATACGTTCCTCAACATGTTCACGAAATGCTACCAAACGTGCCTCTCGCGCGCGCATGTCGAAATCAGTCGAAGGCCCTTGCGCGCGCGCGTGGGGGGGACAGTTGCCGCGTCAAGTAACACCATGCGGACCACTCTCGCGCGTCGGTCGTGCGCGCATGCCGAAGTTTTTCCAAAAGTTCATCACCCAAGCACATACGCCATTTCCGTGGTCGGCGTGAAAAGCATCGGCGCCGTCGTCGATCGATGTCATCATCGTCGCAAGCATCGTTACTATCATCAACGTGTGTGCCGTTGTTGACGTTGCCATGATACCGCGCCCGTCCAAGCCGCGGATTCTCACTGAAGTGTCCGGTGGGCACTGCCTGGCGGTCAACGCCACCGCGGCCGCGTCGGTCGCGACAAACTAGCTGGCTGCTGCGTGCGCGGGCACGCGCGGGCTACCACGGCCGCGAATGCACCAGCCAACACCAAACAGTCATCGCAATCTCCGCCGCATGGGTTTGGAAAACCAAGTTGCGGGTGGGCGGGTGGTATGGTTGCGCGAGCAGTGGAGTTGACAACTCACTGCGAACACGACTTGCATGCACCATATTGACTGCATCGCGCACATCGCGCCACATAGACACACCCGTCTGAGAAGAAAAAGGGATTTACCACCCACCCACCCTGGTTGTGGCGCTTCCTCCAAAGATAATGCAGTTTACGGATGATGTTGCTCTCTTGATCACTTTGGCAAGGGAAATCATGACATCCCAGCCACATCAGAGTCTCGCCCCCCGATTCTTGAATAACAATCTCATCCTGCTCAAAAAGAATTCAACGCGACCTCGCTCATCAACAACCATCAAGTTTAAGAACCCATCAGCTTTTTGACCATTGAAACCCGCGCGCGCGTCGTCGCGAGCCCAAGCCCGAATTTTTAAGAACGCGATGTCGTAGAGATTGTGGGATCGAGGTTCCCGAAGCCCGGGAAGAACCTGTTTCGCAACATGTTTTAACAAAAGAAGTATGCGCGCGCTCTCTTCCTTTTTTATAAAGATTAAAAATTGTTCATCAAATGCAGCGACCAAGCGGGCTTCGTGAAAACGCCGGAATCACTCGAACGCCTTCTGCGCGCTTGATTCGGCGGCGCGATCCGTGCCAACCAAAACCACGCGTGCCACTGGCGCCCGCCGGCCTCGCGCGCGTGTCGAAATCCTTGCACAACTTTCATCGCCGACGCGCGGGCACCATCCATCGTCACCGGCGTGACGAACATCGGCGCTAATTGTTCCCCTGATATCGACATCGTCACCAACGCACACAACAACACTACGATCATCGCGTGTGCCATCTACGACGTCGCAGTGATACCAGACCCGCCCGGCTCACCGACTCGCACGAAAGTGCTCGCGCGCCAGCGAGACCTGCACGACGCGCTGGGAATTCCCCAGCGGAAAACGCCACCGCAACCGCGTCGGTCGCGCCAGACTACGCGGTTGCTCTGCGCGCGAGCCTGCGTGCACTAGCGCGGCCGCAGCGCTGCGCCAGCCAGAGCCACGCAATCATCGCAATCGCACGCACATGGTTTAGCAAACCAAATTGCGGGCGGTCGGGTGGGATGATTGCGCGAGCAGTGGACTTGACAAGTCAACGCGAACAACCATTAGTTGCACCACCTAGCTTCTTTTTTCTGCACACAAAAAATAAAGCCGACCCTCCCCCCTGAATTAACGGGTGGTTGTTTGATCGTAAAAAAATTGTAGCAAATTGTACCTTCGCGCGCCGCCCATCCGAAGCATGAGCTCGTACCATCCCAAGCAGTCTTGCGATCGACCCCTCCGTTTGTCCCCGTCAAATAATGTGATGTGCACGCGATCGTTTCTGCAAAAAAGGGAAGAGATGCTAAGAACCCTTTTTTTCCTATGGCGAACTGCACACGCGCGCGTCGTCGCGTGCATGCCGACATGTTCAACAACCGTTGGTGGCGTAAGGATTTCAAAATCGAGTGCCCCGAAAACATATGAAAACATACTGTTTCGCAACATGAGTTCCCACAAGCGCAAAGCAATGTGCGCGGGCAGCCTGCGAGACGTGCTGGAAGTCCACAGCAGGCAGCGTCACCGCAACCGCGCTCGCCGCAACTGACTACCTGGCCGCTCTGCGCTCGAGCCTGCGCGGGCCAACGCAACCGCACCGACGCGCAACCCCACAGGCAGTCGAGGCACGGCTGCGCGAGCTTGCTCCAAGACATCCCAAGGATGCTGTTCCATCCTGCGTCGCCTCGCTGCGTCGCTTGGAGGCGGGGGGGGGCTCAACCTAGCCCGCCGCGCCGTTTTCTTGACGCTCCGCTGAACGCGCTGACAGACGGTAGCTCGCACCTGACGCCCATCGGGCGCGGCACTCGCCCTGGGGAGGGGGACAGGGGGCGATGAGGACGAAACGGCTGAAGAGACAAGGGGGAGGAGACAATTGGGGGCGATTTGGCTAAGCACAAAGCGCGCTAAAAATGGGAAAGAGGACAACCGAAGCCTTGCTGGAACAACGCAGACTGAAGCTGCAACGGAACGCTGTCCCCCATCGGGCACTACCACTGACGAGTGCAGGCTAGGTCCTCACCGCTCTGCCGAACGATGGGCTCGCAAGCGGCCTCGATACGCCTGCGATCAAGGGCAGCGTACCTACCACAGTCTACACGGCACGTGACACAAAAGCGGCCCCGCAGCTGGGGCGCGGGACAGATGCGCCAACTTTTAGGTCAGGCGTGTTCCCCTAACCATGCTGCAGGATACTCCAAACATAGTCCCAAGACTATGTTTTTAGTACTTTTGAACATTCCCTCTGTAGAGGGACATGCCCGACTTAAGCCAACTTCCTCGAGACCACCCTGCCCTCGCCCCAAAAAATCGAATCCAGTGGGTCCAAGACGGAGGCCGCAGCACGGGGGGCCTGAGCCGCTTCTACGACTAGCACTCGAACTTGGACCTGGCCTTACAGAAACGGTGGCCAGAGAGAGCTCGAGCGCGGGCTAGAGCCGAGGTCGGAGGTCGAAAAATCCTGGCGAATGACCCAACCGCGTGCAGTTGTGAGGAACGAAGTTGTGAGCACCGTCCTCGGTGGCTGCGAGGCGCGCGAAGGGTGTGCCGAAACTGGCATGCGGTTCCTGGTGGGCGCCCGGGAACCCTCGCAATGGGGGGGTCCCTGTGGGGCTAACGAAACGTGCGAGAGGTGTGCCGTCATGGACATGCGGTGGGCGGGGAGCCGCATGCGAATCCTGCAACTGAGGCTCCCTATGGCGCCACGGAACGTGTGCGGGGTTTGCCGGCATGGACATGCGGTGGGCGGGGATCCGCATGCGAACGCGGCCGCTGGGGCCCTCGGCGGAGCTCCCTTTCGGGCCACGAAGCGAGTGAAGCGTGTGCCGAAATGGGCATGCGATGGCCCGGGAACCGCATGCGAACGCGGTCGCTGGGGCCTTCGCGGGAGCTCCTTATGAAGCCACGAAACGTGTAAGGGGTGTGCCGAGATGGACGCGACCGCTGGGGCCTTCAGTGGAGTTATGAGGCCACGAAGCGTGCGAGGGGTGCGACGGAATTGACATGCGAAAGGCAGAGGCAGGCATGAGAGGAGCGAGGGGGAAGGGCGCTGTCTCCTCAAGTCTAAGACCCAACACGACAGGATGGTTCGAAAAACACACGCCTCGACACGTGATGGCCTGGGCCTCGACAGCAGCCAGCACCCATGGGACGCGGCGGAAGGGTGATCCTGAGTGGCGCTCCCCGAGCCGCCTAAGGACCAGGAGGCGGGGGAGGAGGACGAGGAGGATGCTGAGGAGAAAGAGAACTTGAGAAACGAGGAACTGTGTCCAAGCAGACGTGTGTTGCGCAGCCTCTGTTCGAAGCGTGCTGTTCGGCCGCTTCCCCTCGCCCTCGCCCCCACCACTTTACGACACGTGCTCTGAACTACTGCTGACTTCGACGGCCCCCTCGCTTTTGAACACAGGGAGGGCAAGGCGCACCTCGCTTTGAACACAGAGAAGGCAAGGCGCACCCCAGCGAGGACACATCGCCGACACAGTGCGATGCACTTCCGAGCAGTTGAAACACTGCGCATCGTTTTGAGCACAGACAGGAGAAGGCGCACCTTAGCGAGGACCCATCGTCGACACAGTGCGATGAGCTTCCGGGCCATTGAATCACTGCACATCGTTTTGAGCACAGGCAGGAGAAGGCGCAGCTCAGCGAGGACGCATCATCGACACGGTGCGCTGAGCTTCCGAGCAGTCGAAACACTGCGCATCGCTTTCAGCACGACAGGGACAGGCGCACCTCAGCGAGGACGCATCGTCGACACAGTGCGTCGAGCTCCCAGGCATTTGAAACAGACAAGCCCTTCCTCGACACAGACTCCGCCTCCTGACGAACGACCAAGACGGCGGAGAGAGAGAGAGAGAAAGGACGCCGCCAAGAGCCGCCTCGCGCAGCACAAGCTTCTCCGCCGCCCGGAAGTCGCGAAGCAGCTCCTGCCGGGCGTCGGCACTGCTGGCCTCCTCCTCCCCACCGGGAGGGAGAAGGGGTCAGGCGAAGAAGGAGGACGGAGGGGGGAAGAGAAGGGAGGGGGGGGAGGAGGGATGATCGAGGAGGGGGGGGGCGACGAGGGCGACGATGAGGGGAGGGGAGGGAGGGGAGGGGAGGGAGGGAGGGAGGGAGAAGCGAGGCCAAGGAACGAATCCTGTGTGCAAGCCTTGGTCTGATTGCACTGGAGTTTCGAGCTCCCCGTGGGAGGGAGGGGTGGGGATGGAGGAGGCATGATGCGGACCTTGTGCCTCCCGAGGAGAGGGGAAGAAGACAGGGGGCGAGGCTATGACGCTATGGGCATGGCCATGGAGCTTTGGCGATCCAACCCGCCGCACTGCGGCCTAAGAGTGGACGATCCACCCCTCAAAAGGCCAAAGCCCGGCGTTGGCCTCAGCAAACAGGCAGGAGGGCGAGGAGGAATGAAGAGGCTGCCGCTACTCTCTACCCATTCGGGCAAGTCGGAGCTTCTTCCATGCTGCCCTGAATTGAGGCGATGACTCGTGCATCGGCCCTCTCTCGGTGCCGAGCTACTGTTGGAAGCCGCCGCCGCAAGTGCCAACTCCTGTGGAGCTGGGGGCTGGCGTGCGAATGCGCCGCTGACGGCACCAGCGCGGGGGGGGGTGGAGGGGGCCAGGAACGCGGTGCATTCCAGCGGGCGGTACGTGTTGCGAAAGTGACTGCCTAAATGTTCACCTGGCTCTGCACGCTGTGACAAGTCCACTGAATGTCTCGCGGCGGTGGCAGGCAGCGCACGTTACGACGGAGGATGAGAAGGAGTACAAGGACGACGAGGATCAGGAGGGCGAGGCCTGAGGGAGAACGTATCCAGATGAACCAGGAGGAGGAGAAGGCGGAGGAGGAGGAGCAGGAGGAGGTGCACGCTCCAAGCTTCCGCCCTGTGTTTGCACAGCAAAAAAAAGGAGGGGAAACAGGAGGCGAGGAGGCCCGACCCCTCCCTGCCTCCCGCCCTTTGCCCCCGCCCCCTCTACCTTCGCCGTCCCCTCCTCCTACCACTCGCTCCTCCTCCGCCACCTCCACCTCCTCCTCCCGCTGCTGCTGCTGCTGCTGCTCCTCCTCCTCCTCCTCCTCCTCCTCCTCCCCCTCCTCCTCTTACTCTTCTTCTTCTTCTTCCTCCTCCTCCTCCGCCTCCTCCTCCTCTTGCTCTCGAAGAGGGCACGAATTCCCGAGCTGAGAGGCATGGTTTCTTTATCAGCGGCAATCGGATTGGAGGCGCCCTCCCGGTGAACTCACTCACTCACTCACTCACTCACTCACTCCTCCTCCATCTCCTCCTCTGTTTCCTCGTCGTCGTCCTGCATCTCATCCTCCTCCTCCTCCAGCTCCGCCTCCTCCTCCACCTCATCCGCTGCCTCACCCCCGCCTTCGCCCTATCTGCATCCCCCGCTCCCTCACCCCCTCCCGCCCCCTGGGAACACCCACCCTGGCATAATCACGTCTGGAATCATGCGGTCCTCATCATCCTGCGGCCCCCCCTCCGCGAGCGGGCGGGGGTATGATAAACAACATGGCTCCCCAATCCACACGCCTCCGACGTCGTCACGTTTGGTCAATCCCTAGGTCTGTAGGCCCCTGGAATTCTCGACCCCACCGCAGGACTGGATATTTCGTCGCGGTCCACGCCCTCGCCCTCAGAGCTCCAGAAAACAGGGACCCTTGAGAAACCAGCAAATCTGCACGCCGGAGAAACTGCAGCCGGGGGTCGAAACGGTTCCCACGATCCGTGTTCCCCCGCCGCATCTTGAAAATCTCGGCTCACCTCCGCCCCCTCCCCCTCACAAAGCTGAACACCAAACCTCTGCTGGCGTGCGCGTTGGCCCGAAACTCGATCAGAAGGGGCGAATCAAATCGAAGCGCCTCGATCCTCGAAGACCGATCCTCGATCCTCGGACATCGCCCCTCGATCCTCGAGGGCGACGCATGGGCAAATGAGCCGAACGAGGAGGAGAAAGCAGAGGGAGGAAGACCCAGGGGAGGATCTCGAAGAGACAGTGGGGAGAGGAGGGCCCGTTCGCACGCTCACTCCCACTCGGGACGAATCCACAATCCCTCAAACCGAAAACTCGGCTCCGGTACGAGAGGTCTGCGTCGACCTCTTCTCTTGCTCGGGGAGTACGCTCTCCTGCAGAGAAGCGAAAGCCACGTGCTCAGACACCTGCCTGAGGAGGAGGACGAGGACGAGGGCGAGGGAGGACGATGAAGGGCCTCCTAGACAGGGGGTGAGTAGATGGGGTCGAGGAATCGCGCCGCATCGCCGACGCATCACAGATGCATAGGCGATGCCTCGGCGACGTCGGCGTGGAGGACACCGGGCTCTGCATCGACCCGCATCGACGATGCATCGGCGATGCGGCGCGATCCACCGATCCCATCCGCCCGGATCCCATCTCGGAGGCCAAGAAAGGAGGACGAGGAGGAGGGCTGGGGAGGACGAGGGAGGACAAGAACGACCCACCCCTGGACTCCCGAAATGGGTACGGAACAAAGTGGTACGATGCCAGACGAGCAATTTTGACCCACACCGACAGCGGACACTGTTGGCCAGGCGATGGCCAGGCAGCCGTCTGCCTCAAATGGCAAAGCCCGCGGCGACACCGACAGCGAGTCCGGTTCATTGTCGGTCTTCGTTCTCACTCTCCAGGGAAATCAGCAATGGCACAAACATAAGAGCTCGGAGGTCCGCGCGGCTTTCTCGGATCCGCGCTGGCCACCCCCCACTGGCGCGCGGAGCGCCCGCCAGGGGAAGGGGCCCCAGCGCCGATGCAAAGAATCCGCGCGGACCTACGAGTTCTTACAGTGGAGGCCAGTCCACAAGAAACCTTCCACAAGAAACCCAACCCTGAGACCCCAGGACGTCCATTGATTGTTGGTGTGGGAGCGTCACGCTTTCCCTGGCAAGACCACCGAACCCCAACCGGGGCACCCTGGAGGCAAGCAGGGTGCTTCTTGGCATGGATTTCCACTGCATGTCAGTGCTAGTCCCCCGCTCAGAAAGATAAGAAAAAGCTGCCGGTCCACCGCACCAGCCCTCCCTCCCTAATTACCCGGGTTTAGGTCGGGCATGTCCCCCTACAGGCGGATGCTGGACAAGAAATAAAAACAATTGTAAAAACATGCGCCAAAAAGCACTACAAATTGTCAAACAATCGTCGCCATACAAATGTTTGGTTATTTTTGAAACTTCTTCCTTGAGATAGAGGCTTCCCACATCGGGTCCGAGTAAATGGGGTCGGAGGATCGCGCAGCATCGGCGCTGCATCGGCGCTGCATCGGCGCGGCATCGGCGATGCACCGGCGACGCATCGTTGATGCACCGGCGATGCATCGTCGACGCATCGTGATGTATCGGCCACGGTGGCGTGGAGGAAATCGAGCTCCGCATCGATCCGCATTGCCGATGTATCGGCGATGCGGCGCGATCCTTCGACCCCATCTGCTCGGGCCCCATCTGGGAGGCCTGGAGTAGGGGGACAAGCCCAACAAAAACCGTACAGGCGGATTCTGCACGAAAAACAAAGCATCGTAAAACAGTACCCCAAACATGACCAAAACTAGTCAACACATGGTCCCCAGACTGTGTCTTACTATTTTTTGAATCTTCCTGCTGTCGAATAAAACATAATAAAACAGTACCCCAAAAATGACCAAAAATAACCCAGAAATCGTCCCCAGACTGTTTCTTACTATTCTTGAAACTTCCTCCTGTCGAATGGCAACCCCGCCCGAAACCGTACCCAGCTCGCCCGCGCCGGCCCTCGGCCCCCGCGGGTCCTCGGGGCACCCCGCCGCCCCGGACGCCAGGCGCTCCTCCGCGGGCGCGCGGGGCGACAATCGGGGGGCAGGGACCGACCGTCCCGGCATTCCTACTCATACCACGAAATGTTCCTAGAACGCGAAAATGTTCGAAGGACAAAAACCATGCTCTTAGAGCGTAAACCCGATGAGCGTAAAAGAAACTATCCCAGCCAGAAATGTTCTAAGAACATTTCGCGGAAACCACAGAAAGTTTCTTACAACATTGTTTGGTAGGGCTATCTGCGAGCCAGGACGCTTCGCCGGTGCTTGAGATCGGGGGGCAGGTTCCCGGGCAGGCTGGGGCTGTCGGGCCCCCGTCGGCGATCCGCGGGCGACTGGGGGCCGATGCATCCCACCCGCGTGGCGGACTTCGGAAACCCTGTGCCCAAAAACGTCTGCACATCTGGGGGGCGCAGCTCTCACTTCCGCCGCCTTCCGCCGAGCTTCCTTTTTCTATACCAACGCTACGCCCTCTAAGTGTCAATCTGGATGTCTTGCGAGGGGCTACTCAAAAGGGTCTACCGATAAACGGCGCAATATATGGCTATTCATATCGAGAGTGAGGACCCGAGCCGGAAGCTACGCAGGGGGGCCCCTTAGTTCCGCCACTGCACGCCCCCGCCTCTGCGGAGGCGGCACTGCAGAAGAGGCGCCCCGAGCCCCCTCTGGGGTGGGGCGGCCATCAGCAAGGCCGAGATTAGCAACTAGCACGCACAAAATGAAGACGCTCGCGCTTGCGGGGAAGAGGGAGGACAAGGACGGGGCAGGCTGGATGCGCACCCTCCCAGGGCAGAAGGCCCCGAGAGGTCATTGCGAACGGTCTGTGTCTTTCCCTACCATCACAGGTACGTAGCGGAAGATGCCGTGAGCCAGCTCTCTCCCGAGGCGCTCAACTTGTTGCAATGTAAACCCTACTCAACATCTTGAGCTCATCCGAGAGCGGGGAATAATAGGTATGTGGGAAGTGACGTGCATGACAAAAATCCCAAAAACACGGCGTCGAAACTGGCGCGCATGTGAACTGAGTCCATGTCCCTGGCGAAGCAACGACGGCAACTGAGGAGCACAACGGCTCCAAAAACGGCCCGCACGTAGCGCACGACAAAGACCCAACGCCTCCCCTGTGCCCTTGCTCCTTCCAGAAGTACGAGATCCGCTTGTTCGCAGCATTTGGAAGTCCAGACCAGTCGGGCAGCTGGTCAGCGCTCACCTTACCGACGCAGAAAGACAGGAGGGAGTGCACCATACCATCGTCGCAGTCAATGGGCCCAAACGTGTACTCGACCACAAGGTTCGCTCCGTTGGTTGCGGAATTGAAGGCGTGGCTGTCCACAGCGTCAAAGACGTAGATGGCCACGGAAACGACGACGAAAGTGCCCACAACCTTAGGGTAGGCGAAGACATGGTTGCTCTCGATGGTCGCAACATCATACTGGTTCTCGTACTGGGCGATCGACGTGTTTCTGGAGACCGTGGCGGCACTGACAGACGGTGCACAGGAGCCACTGCGCGCGGTCGGGCTGGGAATTGCGACCTGGCTCGGAAGGGCAACGGTGCTCGTATCCTTTGAGCCGACAAGGCTGCGCCGAGCTTCGGCCGGCTTCCGCCAGCGGAGGCGGCCTCGTTTTACTTCCGCCGACCTTCCGCCGCCCTTCCGCCGCCATCCGCGGCGGAAGAGATGACAGCTCTGTCTATCCTCGAAGGCAAAGCCTTTTTTGGGGAACGCCTCATATCGGGGGTTGCTAAAGGTGCCCCTGGCCGCCTGGCCCAAGGTGCCCGCAGCTTTTCGCTCCATTCTGAAGCCCCTGCAAAGGCCCCTGGGCCTCGCGAGGGGTGCTCCTGAGGCCGTGGGGGTCTCGTCAGGACTCCTGGGGGCACCTTGGGCCGGGGGCGCTTCTAGCAACGCCCGACCAGATGCCCACCAGTCGGGCGTTGGAACTGGGTTTAGCGGACCTGGTTTAGTGATTTGTATTGGGGGAGGCCCCCCGCCCCGTTCCACTAACCGGAACTGCCGTCACCCGAAAAACACCAGCTAGGAGGAGGAGGAGGAGGAGGAGGGAGGAGGAGGGAGGAGCAGGAGGGAGGAGGAGGGAGGAGGGAGGAGGAGGAGGAGGAGAGGAGGAGGAGGAGGAGGAGGAGGAGGAGGAGGAGGAGGAGGAGGAGGAGGAGGATGCAGGAGGGAGGAGGAGGAGGGAGGAGGAGAGAAAATGGGGGAGGCAGCAACACGCAACCACGCGGGCACGGAGCTCCTGGAGTCCGCGCAGCCGGACAAGAGCGAGAAAGAGGGAGAGAGAGGGAGAGAGAGAGAGAGAGAGAGAACCGAGAGAGAGGGAGAGGAAACAAAACAAAGAAACAGAGAGAGGGAGAGATAAGTTAGGTGAGCCTGCGTGGAGACGTTTCTGGACATCCGCGGCCCTGTCATGCACGCGATGTCGACCGGAGTTCGTCCAGAGTTCGACCCCGCGGGGAGGCGGGAGGAGGGTGGAGGGTTGGGGAGGTGAGGGTGAAAGAGAGAGAGGGGGGATGAGTTAGGTCGGGCATGTCCTCCTACAGGCGGATTTGGGAAGACACATACAAACGATTCAAAGCATAAACCGAACAAATCTTCACATGAGCGTTTTCTTCTTCAGCGTTTCGACATTGGACGGCGAAGGGGGGGGTCTGGTTCTGGACCTCTGCTTCGTGCGACTGTTTGCCGCAGTGCGTCTATTATAATGGAAGAGACTCCACCTGCTCGAAACGGGCGCCCAAAACAGGCAAGATCCACTCCATAGGGTGGGCTGCGAGGGCCCGCGCCGATCGGCAAAACAATGAATATAAAAACATCAACACCAAACGATTTAATCTGCGGTGGACAAAACTCCCTTTAGAAAACCTCCCCTTCGTGAAAACGGCCTGGGACCGAAACCGACGGACCTGGACCCGCAAAAATGACGGGCGCGACGCCCTCTCGCGAACCGAAAACGGCCAATTCCTCAATCGACGCGTCAGGGTAGGAGGTCTGTCCACCCCCGATGTCAGTATGTCTTACTGCTCTTGAGTAATTCTCCCGTCGAGAGGCATGCCCGCCTTCAGGGATGCGGAGAGCGCAGCCGCTCCGGGCGGCCCAGTCAGACCACCCTGCACGCAGCCGTTCTCGTACCCCGCGTTCCCTATCCATCCACCCCATCGATGGGAGCATCTCAAGGTGGAATAACTAGAGGGCAGAAGATCCACCCCGACAATAACCACCCCAGCGCGGGAGGCCGTTTAGCAAGCGCACCCGAAGAAGGAATTAAACAGTGCAAGGCTGTTCAATAAACGCCCAGGGCTTTTTAGTAAACGCCAATTGTCCTATCCGGGTGGTTTTTCCTCCCTTGACCGAGGGATCACGGAACACTAATCCATCCCATCGCTGAGAGTCTCTCCAAATGGAATAAGAACGTCGCAGAATGAGCACCCCGACGCGCAGCCGAAGCCAGCATGCGCATAACAAATTTCGCACGACCCCCCTTCCTGGTCACCCATGTCGTCCGCCCCGAATGGTCCCCGTCGTCGTGTCATTCTGGTCCTAACTCGGGTCTCCCGCCGCCGTTCGGAACGTCTCGGGCACCCAGGGAACGCTCCCAGCGAGGCGAAGCTGCTGGAAAGCAACCCGAAGCTGGAAAAACGCCGAAACGAAAACTTACGGAAACCGTTGTTTCAGCCCGATCTAGGCACGGCTGGCGCCGACCACGACGCAACGGCGGCCACCGCCGACACTCGCGGCCAACATCACATCAGAACGGGTCGTGGACCCCTC